AAAACACTGTTAACAAATCGAACTGTAGGTACCAAGGCGTATATAATACTAAATTACTAAACACTGAGTAAATATTGCGAATGATAATAAAAATAAAATATAATAAAATATATCGCCTTATCGATAATGACATCGAATATCCACAATCAACCAAACGGCTGTATCACAAATTGGTTTATCCAGTATAAATAAATGAATTGTGATTGACAAAAATATTATTATTATGTGCATTTTTTTATAATAATTATAATAAGGTTTTAAAAAAAATAGGGTATGTTTTATATGTAAGTACAGTAAATTGTGATTGACAAGTATATAATTATATCAATTATAGTAAAAAAGTATTATATTATAGCTACCTATTAACATAAATTAAGTATATAGTATATAAAATATTATATATAGCACCCGAATATTATAGTCAGGTAGATAGAAATAAATTGACCGCAAATGGCACGCAAATGTTCCGACCGCAAATGTCCCGGAACCCGGTTACAGTAGGTGTCGATAGTGTACCTCGTCATTGAGAATGCACTGATTGCACTGAAATGGATGCATTAAATTTGAACTCAATGGTAAATCATTGTATAAGATGAAAAATGATTCTGAGCGAGATGGTCCAACTATTTGATAATCAAGATTACCAAACCGCAATTATTTTAATAATAATACTAAAATCTTAACAAATGTTCATATTTTTTTTTTGTTTTTCCCGATTATTTTAAAAATTATTAAACATTTTCGATATTGACTCCCCAAATACAAAAGAGCCAACTAGAATCTATTCGCTGCTAGAAACCTTTCTCGGAGATTTTGATTTTTACTAGAAAAAATGTCTTCAGACACAAAACTTAACAAATAAAAAAAAACACATGGTTGAAACATCATTACATTCTTCTCTCCGTTCTACAAAATCTAAAAATGCAATTTTAATTTAATTTCAATTTTGTGATTAGTGCCATCTATCCTATCCTGATAATCTTGTCATCCACGAGTTGAATATAAAACATCCACGGTCAGAAGGCTTAGTGCGCATTCGAAACATTAAATGGAGAGTGTTGCAGAATATAATATAAAATAATAGCACTCTCGTTTACAGAGAAAATTAAGATTTCCGGGGAAACGAAATAATCTTCGGTTTAACGTACAGCTATAATTATAACGCTATGCCACTGCAGGCGATATAATATATTGCTACGCAAACGCTCTCCGATATAAAGTGCCGTACTGCTACAGACTCAACTTGAGCTAGACGACGCACTTACCATAGTTGGTTTGCTGTGCGTCTAGTTATACAATCTGGCGCCCACTAATTAATCAATCTCTCGTGGATTCCTTCTGGTATTTCAGTCGTGGACAAAATAACAAATTAAGCCGCTACAAGTGTAATTAGGTATATACTAGGCTATTCATCGAGAATGCTCAGTCTCCATTTTTTTTGTTCTAAGTTAATAATGTATTTATTCTGATTCTGATTTTTTTTTAATTTTTAAGAGTGCTTATTTATAAAGACCAAATTTTAAAATAATTATATTTTCGTGCCATTTTGGTAAAGTTTTGCGAGGCAATACAAACTTTTCTTGGTGTACCAACAATACTTACTTCCTTTTTACAATTGAGAAACATCCGTTTTTATTGTAAAATGTTAGGGAGATGTTTTTTTGTTAAAAATGTTGATTATACATTCTGAAGTTGTGTACCTACTATGGGTTATGGGATTGGATAACTACGAGAATTTGAAAATATAATAAGTAATTATTTATTAATATTATACTATTAGAATGGTATGGAATTGTAATGATATGCTCACATATCATATTGTATATATTGCTGTATTCAATATAATAAACAACGGTCAAGTTGTCGTACGCAGAGAACCGTACAAAATCCAATAAATTACATCGATCACTGATGAAAGGAACGAGTTGCGTTATTTGGTCAAACAGAAACTCACACATAGTTGTGACCATCTGGTGCATCCTGTGTGAACTGTTTCTTGCAAGGCCAGAGACAAGGGATGGTCAAATCAGGGTCTCCGTCACTAAAGATAACGGTAAAGCTTTAGAAACGTGGAGGCCTTTGATGGTACCGCCTGCGAATCTGGCTGGCTTGACCACGTCGTCACCTCTCATCAGTGCATGAGCACCTCTCTCTAGTACAACAACCCTTCACGAGTGCATGCACACCACCAACCACCACCACGATAATTCTCTCAACTCCGGATTCTGCGAGCGACAACTGATCCTTTTTCCATCAACGAAAATATATCTGTGTTGTGTTCAGTTTTTGGATTCGAGTGTTTGGATCTTCATAACCTCATTGAGTCACCTGATTACATATCATACAGCGGCGAATAATGTAAGGTGCATGAGCATCATATGATATATATTAATTTTTACGATTTATTAGTCTATACGTATTTTGTTAATACGGTGTACTTGATTCACTTCTCGAATACACGATCTTGAGAGCCCTCTGATGATCAGGAGAAGGCAAACTCGTAAATTAAAATAATTCTAAATATAAGTATCGGCAGGCGTCGTATTTATATTTACGGTTATTATTTCATTCTTTTTATATTTTCGTTTATTCTATTTTTGCGTTATTACAGAATTTAAAATGATCTGTGTGTAATCTGTACTAAACTGAATGTAATTTTTTTTATTTTATGCAAAATCAGGGTTATTATCCTTGGGACATAAAGTTTAGCAACTAATTTGAATTTCGATCTGTATTTATCAACATCACATTTATATTTCAATAACAAACTGAAAAAAGAGTGGGTTTTGCTTGAAAAATAAATTTGTATCACTACGGGACACACTTTCATAATGGTATAAAAACATATCTATATTGATTTGAAAATATATAGATTTTAAGCATACTAATTTATATTAATTTATTATACGATTTTGAGTGTACTTAAAATGTCGAAAACCAAAATTATAATAAATTCGTTATTAAAATATAAAAAAGGAAGGTATTGTTAAATCGTTCTGTACAAAAAATAAACACTCCAGTGGACATGCTGGCAGTTTACATGGTGCTCGGTGTTAGAGCGGTTGAAGCGGTGGTATTATTAATAATGACGCGTATTTCTGGAGTACCAAAACACCTGTACTTAGGTGCATAGGTGCAACTAGTGGAGTTAAGCCCCCTCCAGTGGGGATAAGACACACTATATCGCAACATTATATTTCACAACATGAAGTGTCTAGAATGTGGACCTCAATTGCGCCTGGATGGCTATAGAACAACGAAAATGCGTTAAGTAGTTTCTATACAAAAAAATAACGTCCTAATCATCGAGTCGGAGGTACACATCGTATAATATAAAACCCAGAAACATGCAATGTATTAGAATAAAAAACTATATTATATCATAATAAATTATTATAAATAATTATTAACTTAATGCAGTGTTCACCGAATAGATAATTCACAATTTGATGTACCAACTATACCGAACATGATAACAAGTTACATTTTTATATTACAAGAGGTGGCATAATGAATTTTTCAGAACAATTATTATAATTGCCTCTGAATCATGATTATATTTCACATTTGACTATTTGAGTGTTGCAGCCCTGATAGTTGATACGATTATACTGTTTACGGATTTTGACTTATTTTAAATTGTATGATAATACAACTCGGAGAAGACTTAAAATCGGTCCTCGTTTCATAATAATAATTCGACAATATAAAGCCCAAAGATTAATTGTAATTCAAACTAAAAGGCTAAGCCTTGCCATCTATTCATGTATACCGTTATATTTTATTGTTATCGTTCGAGGAATGTATTGTAAGACTGCACCGATCATAATTCTTATTACACATAATAATACATGTTGTACGCTGATACCACAGTACGTATACCGCACTGTATTCATATTATTATACTTTGTGTTTATTTTTTTGTTTTTTAAAACGATATAATGTGGATCGATATCACATGAGATTTCGTCGATGCCTTTACACAGAGTATAAAAATGAAATATTCACAGCGGTGTAGGTACCTAGTAGTGTAGTATGGCGTTTAATAACGATTTGTAAGACGGTTGAGGTCGAAAACTGACGTGGGTATAGGTTATTCCAAACATAAATAATAATACGAGAAAGCGCCGCGGCTATATTATATTATTCCACTACCAAGTAGGTAGTATACCTATACTGGATGATTCGCCAAGCATGCTCATCCACATTTTTTCCTTTAGTAATGAATTTTTACGAATTTTGATTTTTTAAATTTTTGAGTATACGTGAAGGACAATATCAACTAATACTTAAATTGTGCATACCATTTATAAAGTGTCCTGCGGTGTTATGAACTTTTTTTGTTCAAAATCGCAATAATCTTTTTTACTTAATTTGTGTTCATTTTTAAGCAGATGATTATTTTTCAAAATATTAATGTATCAACATTTTAAATATTAGTTTCAGTATTATTGAAATGTATGAACTAAGGATAACTAATACTCATTAATTATGGTTTTACAAAAATATAAAGTATATCAAGTATATCATATTATATTTATATTAGCTACAATGTTACATATACTGTATATGTAACATTGTAGCTAATAGATCCAGTTACTTATTATACTCAGACAATTTTTTATGATCAAATGTCAATATTTAGGTAGGTACATCCCCATTTAAAAAAAAAACATGCTTAACAAATTACAAAAAAAGGGTAAATTTCATTCGAAAAAAGAAAGTTTATATCGACACAGGATACTCGTCTTTAAATGGTTAAAAAAAAAATTTAAGTATTTGTAAACATATTTTCTCTAATTAGGCATACTTAAAAATTCCAAAAATCAGAATTAAAATATCATAATATTATTACTATATAGGAAAAAATGGAGATGAGTGTGCTATCAACCTGTAGCCAGTATGATTAATATATTAATATATATATATTAACCCACTCAAGCTAAGCATCTTGTAATGCGTCGAAATCGTAATAAAAAAAATGTATCTATATTTTCTAGGCAATTACAGTTGTCTGGTGGCCCAGTTCTACCTGAGCCGTAGCGTGGGTTTCCATCTGGTTCAGAGTTATCTACCTACCATGCTGATCGTGGTCATCTCCTGGGTGTCGTTTTGGATGGACGTCGACTCGGTACCTGGCAGGACCACGCTCGGAGTGACGACGCTGCTGGCCGTCGGTTCGCAATCTTCGGGTACGTCGCGGTACACGCTTAATACCGAATAATTTATTATTGTTATTCGAATATTTGTTCAATGCCAATAATATCCGGTTTCTGTTTTGCTAATCTTTTCGACGTTCCGTGCTTGTCTTACACAGGTATCCAAAGCGGTCTGCCGCAAGTCAGCTACGTCAAGGCCATAGACGTGTGGATGGGCACTTGTACAGGTACGGTATAATACAGTTTGACAGTGTATAAACACGGTTGTCACATAATATGCACATTAACAGTATTTATAATAATTTATTAAACCAGGCACCAGCGGTTCCCAAACTATGCTCCGGGGAGCCCTTGGTACTCCACAATGGCTTACCAAGAGCTCCGTATTCGTAACACCACAATTTTTTTTTAAATTTTTCGCTATTGAAAATGAATATAATTAAAAATAATTCACCGATATGTATAGTACTATAGATTATAGACTCCCGTGTGTATACAATTTGTGTTTATTAAACTTCATAGAAGATAGAACACAGGCAGATAAAAATTAACGTTAAATATTTCTTGGGGGCTCCACGAGAATCTTCTACTTAAAAAAATGATTCGTGGCTAAGAAAGTTTGGAAACCGCTGGATTAAACAAACGCTATTCGAAGGTTTGTAGTTCGTCTGTATTATAATGTATTTTTTTATAAATCAATATAATATTATGCTAAGCTCGACGTCTCGTACAAAACAGTTTTACAGAGTGTAAACAAGGGTATCACCTATGCATATTACTAGTACCTATAATTGATTAACCAAAAGCTATTCGAAAATTTGTTCTTCCATGTTAGAATGTTAGAATGTATTTTTTTAAATTTAACATAATATGCTGAGCTCGACGTCTCTTTCGATAAATTATTAATTACATAAATATAAATAGTAAAATCTTTAAGAAAAATATTTCTAATTATTTTGCAATATTACTAAACAAATCTGAATTAACTCCTCGTAAAGAAAATTATAAGATCCTGATATTCACCAACTTTCTTGTAATTGTCCCTCGACGATGCCACACCCGAATTTATTGTCTCTGTGTGGCAAAGTGTAAATATATACGATTTTGAAATATTTACGTTCAGTAGTTCGTGTTTATCTTTTTGGATCTTGAGATTCTTAATATATATTGTGAATCAATCTATAATCAAACTTCTACTTAAAATTGTATTTTATTTATATTATGGGAGGTTTTTTCCCAATGGTTTAATTTTGAAGCAAATCATGAGCAGATCCGGCGTGGAGCAACATAATTTGATACCTCTTAACAAGCATTAAAATAGCAAACATTGCATGTATAAAAATATAGCGTTGTTCAATAACTAAACCCATACTACTCGATTAAATACATAGAAAAAAAATATTTACAAAATATTAAATATTTGAAGATCAAAATAAATTTGACACCCTGGAGTAAAAGCTCTTACTGCACCTGTGTTAATCATAATGTATAGATTCATAGACATTAGACACCTATGTATAAAAATGAGTATTTTTAAATTTTTAATACCTATTGTAAAAGTTTCAAAAAAACTCTTCCAACATAACTCTACGGACAAAAATATCGCTACCACTTAGGTTTGATAATAGGCATATAGATTCACTATAATATTTGTTGCATATTCAGCATTTATATAATATAAGAAACGTAGTGTTTAACCATTAATAATAATAAGTATCATATTACGATCGGTGGGGATTGTCCATCGGTCAGTAGCCAGCACATAATTTCATTATACGACATTACGATTTATATGTTTGACAATAAAAGACTATAATTTACGTTTGCGTTATTATTCACATTAATGATACACAACA